TTTCTGAAATCTTTATGAAAGGAAAACACTTGTTAGGGCATAATTTAGTTGTAGGCATTTAGAAATTGTTTTCTTTTAATATTTGCTAATCTTCACACCACTACAACTTCTAGTTGGTGTAAAACTTTCAACAAATGCTTGTGTGATTTCTTTCCACAAAAACCAGTGTGGTATTCAACAGTCTTTTTAAAAAATAATAGCTGAGTTAACCTTATGGCATCTAATAGTCTATAGTCATAAGTTCTTATTTTTAAAATTTCTATAATTACAGTGTGATTTGTTTTAGGTGAATATGACTCTTCATTTTCCTATTACCAGCTACTCATCCATAGCTCAAAATGTACAACATAATAACAATAAGAAAACCACACATACCTTTCATTATCGCTGCTTCCAGAAGACCTCTCCCTTGGTTATCTTGCTTAAACTTAAATAAACTTGTTATGTGTCCACCCACAAGTGGTAAGATCATACATACATTACAGAGAAAGAGAATTTTAAAAGCTAATCATTAAACTGAGTTCCAGGCCCTTCAGGCTGTCAGCTTCTAGGCCACAGTTTCAGTCCAGTTACTTGTCAGTCATGTGATTAACTGGAAAAGAAAGCTGGGTGGAGGTGGGGTATTGCTTAGCAACAGGGTTCTGGCTTTAGGATCCTTAAGAAAGCTTTTCATTTCATAATATTTTATTTGAACCACAGCCCTTCTGATTTTTTTCTGTAATAGGAAGCTACGTTTTTAAAAACTGCTGCTCGCAAGTTGAAGCAATTTCTTAAAATGAATATCCATGAGGAATTCAAGCTCCACTTATCAATAGTTTCACAGGGCACATTAAAACTGTTGAACTGCACCAGGAAGGTAAGCTGAGGACTATTTACTTTGAACAAAAATATAAACTACTCCCTTTATAGTTTTATTAGAGATATTATCATTCTCTAATGATCCATTATCATAGAAGTCTAAGTGCTTATAACTTAAACTTGAAATACATTTACTCAACTCTGGAAGAGGAAAATCGTAACTTGAAAATACCTATTTGTCTCTTGGCTAGGGCAAATCAATAGTTTTAAAAGGGGAGTAAAAGTGAATGCATATTTCATTGCCTTAACAACTTTCAAGGAGGCTAGTGTGATAAGTGGGGTGGGGAAAAGTAAATTTTTGTCACTAAAACCTATTAATATTTTTAATCCACATATGTATAGATTTATAAAAACTCATAGCAAATAAAACAGATAAAATGTATTTAACAAATATCTTTCTCATTAACACTGGGCATATACACTGAGTGGCCAGATTATTATGACCACCTGATGTTTGTAGGCAAATTAGCCCTACACTGCATCGTATCGGATATGGAAGCCGAAGGCCTGTTCGAATACCTTTGCTGTCTGCTGTTACCAAGATTAAACGTCTCCAATTCGCACAGGAACACAAGGATTGGACAGTCGCGCATTGGAAAAAAGTCATGTGGTCCGATGAATCACGTTTCCAGTTGCATCATGCAGATGGTAGAGTGAGAATTTGGCGGAAACAGCATGAAAGCATGCACCCCACATGCATGAGTAGAACCCTTCAAGCTGGTGGGGGCAGTGTTATGGTTTGGGGCATGTTTTCCTGGCATGATTTGGGCCCTTTAATTCGTGTGGAACAACGTCTGAATAGCACAACATACCTAAGTATCATTGCTGATCAAGTTCATCCTATCATGCTGATGGTGTATCCCAATGGAGATGGCTTCTTCCAACAAGACAGTGCGCCATGCCACAGTGCTTGTATTGTGCCGGAGTTTCAAGAACATGAGGGAGACTTTACCTTGCTTAGGTGGCCCCCACAATCACCAGATCTCAATCCAATTGAGCATTTGTGGGACCAAGTTAAAAGAGCCATCAGGCAGCTGGTTCCACAACCATCAAACTCACAGAACTGGACAGTGCTATTCATCAGGCATGGTGTCCGATTCCTAGCATCACCTTTCAACATCTCGTGGAGTCAATGCCAAGAAGAATCGCCGCAGTATTGAAGGCAAAAGGTGGCCCAACGAAGTACTGATGGGGTGGTCATAATAATCTGGCCACTCAGTGTATATGACCAATAATTTTCTATTTATTGGTTTCAATAATTTTGATAAGTATAGGGCTAATTTTTCCCTACTGCCTGCTAGCGGTTGTTAAGCAAACAAAACAAAACAAAAATGGAAAAGATTATCTTGAGTGTAGAAAGTTTCTTAATCTATAAAATGAAGGGAAAATAATAGTATACATTATAGGCTATTGAAGATTAAATGGCATAACTCATGTAAAATGCTTAGGATCAAAAGGTTTCAATAAGTGTTATATTATTATTACAATTAACCTCCTCTTCAGGAATTTTACCAGCTGCCACACAAAGCCAAAAGGTTTCTTATGATTTTTTAAAAGAAAATTTTTAGGATAGAAAAAGGGTTGTGTGTTATTTTTTAATACCAGTAGTTGCCCACAGCTCAAGTGGTAAAACTGTTTTTGCGCCCTACTGGTAGTGATGACAAAGATGACGTAAGTTGAACCAGTTCCCTTATCATGTGTTAGGTACACATGCCAGCCAGTCTCCTCCTGGTGTCCTGGGTTTGCAAGCTTATTTCCCATTTTGTCCCCTTACTTATGTTAGTCTCTTTTCTATAATTCTGATCTGCCCTGTTCTACATCCTTCAAGGCCACACTCAAGATTCATGAAGACTTCATAGTCTAGCCTACCAGCTCTTAATCCTTATTCATAGTGATATCAAACTACTGTCTAATGCAAGAAAGTCCAATCATTGCTTACACATCCAAATGATTAGCAATGCCTGTTGGAAACACCATGTTGTGTATTAGCCTCAAGTCAAGGCTCAACTGAAAAACTGCAGACAAACTAGTGATATCACCTCTTCTCCTAGGAAGGGTAGGGGTTATGGGTATGCTATGTATTTGCAGTTCCTTCTCTCATGTGCTGAGCTTTGCATGGATCACCATGTTCCAAAATCAACTAACTGTCAAGAAGGAAAACACAAATGATTTATTCTTGAAATTAAATAAAATTATGTCACAAAACTAACTAACCTGATACAATCTGCATTTCTCTTAAAATGACAAGGTAAGATATTAAATACAGTCAGCTACATTGACTTTTCTTCGTGAGTCAGGTCTGCATGAACTATTGATTATTTCATTTTGCTTCTGATAGATAAAGCACAATAAAATGTATGGTCAGGATTTCACAATTTAATGATGACTTTATTTTCATATTGATTAAAATTCTAGTGTTGTTTGTTACTATACCCTTCTGTATTAGGTTTTTCACTTTATTTATTTATTTATTTATTTATTTATTTATTTATTTATTTAAATTGTTGAAAACATCACAGATGTCCCTCCCCCCGCCTCCCTCCCCATATGTTAGTTTTTCATGCCTCACAGCCATTAAGACAGTGCTGGGCATACCTGCAGGATCCAGGGCATTCAGAAGATAATTTCTCTTGTTTCTTCCTTTTCCCTCATCCTCATACAGGCATACCTCCGAGATTTTGTGGGTTCAGTTCCAGACCACCCCAAAAGAGCGAGTCACTGAATTATTTTTTGTTTCCTAGTGTATATAAAAGTCATGTTTACACTACATTGTAGTCTATTAAGTGTGCAATAACATTATGCCTAAAGATGTACATGCCTTAATTTAAAAATACTTTATTGCGAAAAAATGCTAAACATCATCTGAGCCTTTGTGAGTGGTAATCTTTTGCTGCTGGAGGGTCTTGTCTTGATGTTGATAGTTACTGACTGATGGGGGTGTTGCGGTAGGTTGAAGAGGCTGTAGCGATTTCTTAAAATAAGACAACAATGAAGTTTGTCACATCAACCGACTCTTCCTTTCATGAGTGATTCCTCTGTCCCATGTGATGTTGTTTGATAGAATTTTACCCACATAGAGCTTCTTACAAAATTGGAATCAGTATTCTCAAATCTTGCTGGTGCTTTATCAACTAAGTTTATGTCATATTCTAAGTCCTTTGTTGTCATTTCAACACTCTTCACAGCATCTCCACCAGGAGTAGATTCCATTACTTAACCCTATGGAGCAACTTCTCAGCCATTAAGGCTTTGTCATGAGATCAGCAATTCAGTCCCATCTTCAGGCTCCACTTCTAATTCTAGTTCTCGCCATTTCCACTGCATATGCAGTTCGCTCCTCCATTGAAGTCTTGAACCCCTAAAAGTCATCCATGAGGGTCAGAAACAACTTCTTCCAAATTCCTGTTAATGTCGATATTTTGACCTTGTCCCATGAGTCAGGAATGCTCTTACTGGCATCTGGAATGGCGAATCCTTTTCCAGGTTTTCCATTTACTTGCCCAGATCCATCAGAGGAATCACTATCTATGGCAGCTACAGCCTTTTGACAGGCATTTCTCTTTTTTAAAAAATATATTTTATTGATTTTTTACAGAGAGGAAGGGAGAGGGACAAAGAGTTAGAAACATCAATGGGAGAGAAACATCTATCAGCTGCCTCCTGCAGGAACTGGGGATGTGCCCACAACCAAGGTACATGCCCTTGACCGGAATCAAACCTGGGACCCTTCAGTCTGCAGGCCGACGCTCTATCCACTGAGCCAAACCAGTTAGGGCTTGACAGGTATTTCTTAAATAATAAGACTTGCAAGTTGAAATTACTCCTTGTTCCATGGACTGCAGAATGGATGTTAACAGGTATGAAAACAACATTAAACTTGTTGTCTAGTTCCATCAGAGCTCTTGGATGGCCAGGTGCATTGTCCATGAGCAGTAGTATTTCAAAGGGAATCTTTTTTCCTGAGCAGTAAGTCCTAACAATTGGCTTAAAATATTCAGCAAACCGTGTTGTGAACCGATGTGCTGTCATCCAGGCTTTGTTGCATTTAAAGAACACAGGCAGAGTAGATTGAACATAATTCTTAAGGGCCCTAGGATTTTCAGAATGGAAGCTGAGCACTGGCTTCAACTTAAAGTCACCAGCTACATTAGCCCCTAACAAGAGAGTCAGCCTTTGAAGCTCTGAAGCCAAGCATTGGCTTTTCCTCTCTAGCTGTGGAAGTCCTAGTTGTCATCTTCTTCCAAATGAGTGTGTTTCACCCACATTGAAATCTGTTGTTTAATGCAGCATCTTCGGTAATGATCTGAGCTAGATCTGCATAGCTTGCTGCAGCTTCTACACCAGCATTCACTGCTTCACCTTGCACTTATGTTATGGAGAGGACTTCTTTCCTTAACCTCATAAATCAACCTCTGCAGCTTCAGACTTTCCTTCCGCAGCCTCCTCACCTCTCAGCCTTCATAGGATTGAAGAGTTAGGGCCTTGCTCTGGATTAGGCTCTGGCTTGAGGGAATGTTGTGGCTTGACCCTCTTTCTCCAGATCAGCAATAAGGCTGTTTGGCTTTCTTATCATTCATCAGTTCACTGGAGTAAGCACTTTTAATTTCCTTCAAGGACATTCCTATTGCTTTCACAATTTGGCTAACTTTGGAGCAAGAGGCCTAGCTTTCAACCCATCTTGGCTTTCGACATGCCTTCCTCCCTAAGCTTACTCATTTCTATCTTTTGATTTAAAGGGAGATATGCAACTCTTCCTTTCACTGAACTCTTAGAGGCCATTGTAGGGTTATTAATTGTGTCTCAGGGAATGAGGAGGCCCAGGGAGAGGGAGTGAGATAGAGGAATGGCCGGTCAGGGCACTATTTATCAGTCAAGTTCACCATTTTATACGGGTACAGTTCATGGCGCCCCACAACAATTGCAATAGTAACATCAAAGATCACTGATAACAGATCACCATAACAAATATAATAATGGAAAAGCTTGAAATATTGAGAGAATTACCAAAATGTGACACAGAGATACAAAGCAAACTAATGTTGGAAAAATGGCGCTGATGCAGGGTGGCCACAAACCTTCAATTTGTAAAATAAAAAAAATAAAAAACACACCATGCAATTATATGGGGAGTGCAATAAAGTGATGCATAATAAAGCGAGGTATGCCTGTATTCTACTTCTAAATGAAATGAGTATCTGCTAACAACAAATAATTGAAAGTAGATTCTCAAAAAGATTAGATGAGCTGAGAGTAATATACAAAAATTAGCAATAACATTAATGGGAGAAGCAATAAAGAATTAATATTCAATGTTGTAAATGTAACTTTGTTTTTAAGGATAAAGAAAAAAAACAACCTTCCCTGGGTGAAGTCCAACCCACTAAGAATTTGGTGAGAATAATTGTATAATTTTCTTTCTTTATCAGTTTTTTATTTAACTTAATTTCTTAATGTTTCTCTCTGAATTTTCTTTTTTATAGTTGGTTTTGAAAATATTTTATAATGTTATTAAAAGTAGCAAGAAGGTACTTCTTTGAAATTGCATCCCTTTAAACTGTTTTTTCTTTAAAAAACACTATTTTACTTTATATCTTTTTTTATTTTATTGGGTTGACATTGGTCAACATGAACATATAGGTTTCATGTGTAGGGTTCTATGTTACAAAATTTGAATATGGCACCATGTGCCCACCATCCAAACCACTATTTTAAAATAAAAGAAGCTAGGGGAAATATCAGAGCATTGATTTTTTTTAGAAAGCAACAAAATTAAAACCACTAGGTAAGAGACAAAACATGAATAAACTATATAGGAGAAAGTAAACTAGAAAACAAGCATATGAAGAAAAAAAGCCATCCTTATTCCTTAGTAAAGAAATAAAAATTTAACATGAGAACCTATTTTATACGTACAGAGTATACAATATATACTATAGGTGTATGTGAATATTCTACATTTATAGATCATCTTTATATTACTTATCCTATATAATAAAAGGCTAATATACAAATCGACCAAACAGTGGAATGACCGGTCGCTATGACGCACACTGACCACCAGGGGGCAGACGTTCAATGCAGGAGCTGCACCCTGGTGGTCAGTGCACTCGCACAGCGGGAGCGCCACTCAGCCAGAAGCCAGGCTGACGGCTGGTGAGCACAGCAGCGGTGGCGGGAGCCTCTCCTGTCTCCATGGCAGGCAGACATTCCCCCAAGGGGTCCCGGAATGCGAGAGGGCGCAGGCCAGGCTGAGGGAACCCCCCTCCAGTGCACGAATGTCAAGCACCAGGCCTCTAGTATTAAATATTTATACTAACAGATACTATTGCACAAAATTATATAGCAATATAAAAATAAATATGAATGAAAAACTCAGGATAATGAAATTTGATTAAACGTTAAATTGATATCAATATTAATTAGGAAAGGACATGTAAAAATGGATGCACCTGGTTCAGAAGAGTGATGGGTTCTCCTTTCATATTTCCATTATTGTTATAATGTCATTTGAGCAATAGATACATGGGAACATGAAAATCCCTTGCTCCTTTTAGAGAAGGGGGCTAGCTTGCTTACCTGGGACTCAGGAAGCCTAGGAATCCCACTTGAACTTGCAGAATTGAAATGAACACATGAGCAATTTAAACACACTGAGGGCTTCTGGGTAAGAACACATGGGTGGTGGGCACGCAGTGCATCATAAAAACATACACTTGAAACCTACATAATCTTATTAACCAATGTCTACCCCAATAAATGTAATTTTAAAAAAAAGAAAGGATATGAGAACCAACCACACCAGACAAGAAAAACTGGGAAAGATATAGGTGGGAGATACGTTCTCAGGATTACAGAAATAAAATGGTTCTTCGCTTTTGTCTTTTTAATGAATGTTCACTCTTGGTCTCTGAAGAAAAGTCATGAAATCCTCACATCCATGTATTTCACATCTGCTTGGTCACATAAACTCAAACATGTACTCTTTAAATATATCCTGGGACCCTCACTAAAAAATCTATGAGAAATTCTCCTTCATAATTATCTTTGATATCTGTTGTCTAATATTTTTAATGGATATTTCAAGGCTGTGTGTTAATGTTATTCAACACACACCTAAAACAGACCCGAATCTGTGCCTTAACTAAAAATAGAACAACTGAGCTCAAGACCCAGTCATTATACTTACTTGACATGTGACCATAGAGGCTTATTTACCCTCCTTGCGGCTGTTCCCTCATCTGTAAAAGGAGGCAAAATCAGCAATTTCATAGAGTCAAGTAGATACAATGAAATAATGTGAAGCACAACATCTGACCTATAAAATACCCATGACTGGTTGTAATCTCAGGAAGGTTCCCTGCCCTGTCCCAGCCCCACTTCCAGGGGCTCACAGGAGTGTCAAGTATCAGCAAAGCTGCTCCCTGCGTCTCTTCCATGGGAGGTACCTCTTTCTCCGCTTTCCGGAGGCTGTACAGGAAACTAGGATTTTCATCAACAAATGAGAGTTAGCTCATGAGGCAGGTGCAGACCGATGGTTGGGGTGGACCTTGGGGCACATGCTCACTCAGGTAGATCCTTAGTCATCATCTTTGCTAAAATACGCTGCCTGTTTTCAGTGCTAACTATTCCTTCCACACAAAATATGTTCTCCTGTATTACAAAACCTAATTGAGTAATTTACAAGTAACTTTCTCACAAAAGTTTAAATAGCATTCTTGTCCTACTGTTGTAGGCACCAGGCATCGCTCTTTAATGAATTCTAAATCTTAAACCACAACAACCTTGAATTTCCTACATATCATCCCAACTAGAGTTAGAAATCACAGGTTTAAAGTATGATGCAAGATTCTCCTTTCCCATGACACAGAATTTTCAGTAGAACCTAAGATGGTGGGAATTAAAGATTGAATATTTGAAAGCATGTATTTGTATAAAAATGTGAACTTAAAACTTCTTTTGCATATTTCTGTAGGAAGAGAAAAAATCTTCAAAGGGACAGAAAAAACAGGATGAAATGTGTTTCCTAATGATACTACTAGAAAAGATTAAAACTTGCTGGAATAAAATTTTGAGCGGCACTAAAGAACATTGAAACGTATGGCGTGACAATATAAAGACGTGAACTTTAGTTGCATCCCTCAAGAATTGATCTGCTCGTGCAATTTTCCGGGGTAGAACGCCTCCCAGAAATTACTGAATGCACCTGGTAAAAATGGGTCAGAGCAATTGAGAAATACATGCTGTGGTACTAGAAGGACACAAACAATGGAACCGAACGCTGCAATCAACGGACTATTTCCTATGTGTGTGCACATGCGTCAGCTGGTGTTAATTTGGGGCTGATTTTTGTAAGACGATCCATATAAGGCAGTGATGGCAAACCTATGACACGCATGTCAGAGGTGACACGCGAACTCATTTTTTTGGTTGATTTTTCTTTGTTAAATGGCATTTAAATATATAAAATAAATATCAAAAATATAAGTCTTTGTTTTACTATGGTTACAAATATCAAAAAATTTCTATATGTGACACGGCACCAGAGTTAAGTTAGGGTTTTTCAAAATGCCGAGCTCAAAAGGTTCGCCATCACTGATGTAAGGTATTAGCTGCAATAATCCTTTTTAGACCTGTTAAAAATGTTCAGGAGACATGTAAAATCTGTGGTGTATATAAAGGTTACAAGGATTAAAAATTAGCTTTGCTTTATTTCTTTATGGCCTACTATGCATCAGTATAATGCAATGAGTGTGGATATTGTCATCTTCTGGCAGAGTTGACAGTGAGGTATGGACAATGCCCAAGCGAACAAGTCATGTATCTTAAAGCAGAAACGTAAAGGAGTCCAAGATGCTTTAAGAGGAGTGTGACTGTGTAGCACGTGGCCTCCAGTAGATGGCATAGAAAATGTCCTAAAATGAAAACAAAGAATAATTTCACAAAATAGGAAGTCACCTGTTTTAAGGCTGCTAAGCCATAGTACCGAGTTTCTTCTGTCATTTACTTGTAATAAAACTTGTCTGAATGAGTTTGCAATTTGGGAAGTATATTTTTAAGAGAATAATATATGTTGCCTTTTAATTAATGGAGTGTGTATATTTAATTTTGACACTATATCTGTATATAAAAATATTTTCATACAGTATTACGAACAAATTACTTGCTTTGGATAACATTTCTCCTTTGATAATAAATGACCTATGTATTAACACTGTCAGATTCACTTAATCTCAACAGAACTTTTTTCCCAGTTTTATTGGGAAATATTTGACATGCATCACTGTATATGTTTAAGGTATCCGATATGATGGTTTGTTTTACATATATTGTGAAATGATTAACACGATAAGTTCAGCTAACATCCATATTCTCATATAATAAAAAGAAAAGAAAGAAAAAAACTGTTTTCTCTTTATTTTGAGAACTTATAGGACTTACACTTAACAATTTTCCTGTGTTGCGTACAGCAATGTTAGCTATAGTCATCATGTTGTACATCCCTGGGATTTAGTTATCTTATAACTGGACCTTTGTACCTTTTGACCACCTGCCTCCAGCGTCTCCCTCCCCCTATCCTCTGTGTCTGGTGTCTTTTTTTAAATACATTTTTATTGATTTCAGAGAGGACGGGAGAGGGAGAGAGAGAGATAGAAACATCAGTGATGAGAGAATCATTGATCGGCTGACTCCTGCACTGGGGATCAAGTCCACAGCCCGGGCATGTGCCCTTGACCGGAATCGAACAGGGGACCCTTTAGTCCACAGGCCGACACTCTATCCACTGAGCCAAGTCGGCTAGGGCTGTGTCTGGTGTCTTTTAATACAAGCTTTTATGTTTAGGTTCCACATGTGAGATCATACAATATTTGTCTTTCTCTGTCTGACTTATTTTATTTAACATAATGCCTTCAAAGTCCATCCATGTTGCCACAAATGGTAGGATTTCCTCATTTTTATGGCTGAATAATTCATCCACTAAAAGACACTTAGACTTTTCCCATGCCTTGGCTATTGTGAACATTGCTGCTATGAATATGGAGGTACAGTTATCATTTTGAGTTAGCGGTTTGGATATATTCCTGGAAGAGGAATTTCTGGATCATATGGTAGTGCTGTTTTTAATTTTTTAAGCTCTTCCATACTGTTTTTCATAGTGGCTGGACCGATTTACAGTCCCACCAACCGTGCACGTGGGGTACCTTTTCTCCACCTCCTCACCGGCATCTGTTACCTCTTGTCTGTTTTATGATGGCCATTCCAACAGGCACCAGGTGATATCTCATTGTGATTTAAATTTGCATTTCCCTAATGACTAGTGAGCCAACAGGATTTTTTTAAGGCAAGATTTTTAATATTGCCCTACTATTTGGTCTCTTTCACTGAACACATAACCTTTAATACCTTATTACCAAGAACGTACACGGGGCCAATGATAATACTATTAAACGGGTTCTGCTAAACATTTTTCCATACTTCCAATTAATCCATCAAGAAGTATATATCTTATAAATAAAACTAGAGGCCCAGTGCACAACATTTGTGCACTTGGGGGGGAGGGGTCCCTCAGCCCAGCCTGTGCCCTCTCACAGTCCAGGACCCCTCGGGGGATGTCTGACTGACAGCTTAGTCGGACATCCTTAGCACTGCCGCAGAGGCAAGAGAGGCTTCCACCACCACCGCTGCGCTCACCAGCCATGAGCCTGGCTTCTGGCTGAGTGGTGGGGAGCACACTGACCACCAGGGGGCAGCTCCTGTGTTGAGCATCTGCCCCCGGGTGGTCAGTGTGCATCATAGGGACCGGTCATTCTGCCGTTCGGTCAATTTGCATATTAAAGTTGTATTATATAGGATTACTAGGTTATGAAGCATGAATATTTTTAAAGCTTTTATATTAAAGTAAATTTAGTCAACTTTTAAAAATGTATTATCAATTTCTATTTCTGTCAGCATATAAGGTCTTTCATCTTCATGCCCCGTGGTAGTTTTCAGTTTCTTTATAAGACTGCTGGTTTGATGAATAAAATCAGCACTTTTCTGTGGAGTACACTCAGCACTCCTGGCAACCTCCTATTCCCAGCCTCATTGCTGCAAATTCACAATAGGATGGAAAGTGAGGTGCTTGGGCAAATAGAGAAAAGGGAAGGGAAAAGGGAAGGGTTATGTGAGATAGAGTGAACTGATGTGTCATCGGTAACTTTTATGCAAAGGCACTTTTTCTGAGTCACCAGGACACTGGAAGTCAACCGCGTTTTGCAGCTCTCGTGGACCCACCACACACGCATCCTTTCCACGGCCACTTGCCTTTCCCTCCGAAGGTGGTTAGTACAGCTCTCGCTCACAGCCCTCTGGTCTCCTCCCGAGCACTGGGACAGAGAAGAAAAACAGAAAATGGAATGGTCGGCTGTCTAACTTGTGATAAGAAAGCTGCATTTTCAACACTTCTGCAATATTTTGTTCTTGCTTTTACAATATAGAAAATTCTATTAAAATAAATCCTTGTTTGTCCCAGGTTGTAGTTGTTTGTATATCTATCAAATTCTCCAAATAAATGATCAACTTTAGGACAGAAATTAATCACATCTTATTTCTCTTAATACTTCATAGAAGGAAGACCATATATAACATATTTTAAGTGTATATGAAGCTTTAGTTTTGTGCATGTTACGTTAGGCTAAGCGTTTTTACCTCCTATTTAAATTGATGTCACTGTCACATGTTAAAGTTAGGCCAGATGATTGGAAAAAAGGCCTTATTTTAAAGATTTTAAGTGCTGTACAACTAAGATAAAATATTAAAGTAATAGAACAAGGAATATTTGGTAATGTGCATGAGTAGTACATTAGAGATATATAATTGCTAACAAAATTTAAGGTAAATATTAAATACTTCTATCAATTATAAGCACGCTGGTGCCCAAAACGAGCTAGACTAGGTTTCTAAGAAATCAACAGATGGGTTATGAAATCCAAAAACCTCTCTCTTACAAATCTCTGTAATTCCATGCTCCCCATCCCCACTCAGATACTCATGCCTATGTTGCTGAGGAGCTTTTAAAATAATGGAGGGCTGGTAAGATTAGCCTAAAGCACCCCCTAGTGGCAAAATAAAAACCAATCCACATACAGTTTTACAGCCAAGCAAAACTATGTAATCAATGAGTATCGACAGTAACATTTAATTGAAAAAAAAAAGTTAAGTGAGACTAAAAATGAGTGTGGCTATCATTAACTCCGTTTTAATGACTGTCCACTGCCCTATTAAATAATGCAGACAGTTGGAAAATCAGCCTATCTTCTATCTCAGTACTAAAAACATACCTAACCATATAAAATACCTACCCCTGCAATGCAAATAGACAGGAGTTCTATCATTTTTTTCATTCCCTGAGCCTCTCTACTCATGGTAACAATATTCACTTCTAGCCTACAGAAAACTGAGTACAAATTAAACATGTCTAATCTGATGTTTTCACTGGAGGTAACTCCTGTTATAATTTTAAGCATGATGGTCTAAATTACTTAGACTCTAAGTAAGTATTCATCACAGATGAATACGTTTGCCATTCAATTGTGTGTTACCTAATTAGAAATACTCAATGTGTTTTAACCTGGACTTCACTAAATGTTTTCAATTGCTAGATTTTATTGGCTATGAAGAGAATGTTTCAATGGCTTAATCTGTGACAAACCTTTAAGGTCAAAAACACTTCAATAAAATAGTAATAATTTCTTTGACAGCTGATGGCACACAGAAATCTGCTCATTTTTAAAACTCTGCATTTTGACTTCAAAGATTTTCTTTGTTTCTTTGTCTTCCTATCTTTCTACCTATGTCTGGCTAAAAGATAAGACATCAATGAAAACCAACTAGCAATTTTTTTGCTTCATGTCTTTATTGAATAGGTGCAAAAATGAAAACTTATTTGTAATAAAACCCATAGAATGAACAGGAGACAACAGCAATTATAATAATCTTATTTTTCAAGCTAATAACTTTAAAAATAATGTGTAAGAAATTTTTATGTTTTAATTTAAGCTTACAATCTTTTAAATTCTACCACACTGGCAAATGCTTGTGAAAATAAATAAAAATAAATGATGCATAGATCTAGGAAAATTTCTTAAAAACCAAACTAATGCATGACAAATCAATGTGAAAATGATATATGCAAGTAATATAAAAATGTATTTAAATATTGTCATAACATGTTTCATAATTCATGAAACTCTTTTGACCAACATAACTGAATAAAGACAACCAGAAATAAATTAATAAAAATTCAGGGTTAAAACTCTAATGTAAGTAAAATGACAATTCCCATTACATTAAGTTTATACCCACTGCCTGAATGAAAAGAACAACTTATGAATAAAATTATAAAGTATAAGCATAAATAAATTTCAGGAAACTGTATAAGCCACGAATTTCTACATTGATCCTTATAGTTTAACAGAATCAAAAACAATAAGCTAGGAACTGCCTATAAAAGATTTGCTTATATATTTATAATAGAGTTGTTAGGCTTGATTCAACAGAAATTACTACTGAATCACTGAATATGGATACACAAGCAAAGAGATTTACTACTACATACTATGCTACACTGAGTGTGACAATGATTACATGATGTATTTTAGCCAAAGTAAAGAAGGATAATTAAATTTTTGTGAATGCTTAATTACATAAGTCAGGTATGCATTAAAGCAATGCATTTTCAGTGGCTTTTATTGTGATGTGAATGGTATTTCAACATGAAAAACTAAAAAGAAAATGTGAGTAGGAAAAATTAGATATTCTCTTAACCTACTCATAACTACATCTAACTATACTTCAAGAGACTAAAATTCAAATTCTTTTACCTGCATGCCCTCCACTGATAATTATTACCAAAATTATTACTTATTTGGTGAGGTGGTTTGTTTTAAAATCCACTAAAGTAATTTATTCTACATTCCGATGCATAGAAATAAACATGAATTTGAAGAAAATTTTTGCATCTCTTATTAATTACATTTTCAAACTTTGCAAAAATGAAGTAGTAAATTAAAACTATTCCATAGCCCTAGCCAGTTTAGCGCAGTGGATAGAGCCTCAGCCTGTGGACTGAAGGGTCCCAGGTTCAATTCCAGTCAAGGGCACATGCTTCAGATGCAGGCTGCTGGCCCTGGTTGGGGTGTGCAGGAGGCAAACAACCGATGTGTCTCTCACATCAGTGTTTCTGTCTCTTCCCTCTCCCTTTCATTCCCTTAAAAAAAAAATCAATGGAAAAATGGGTGAGGATTAAAACATAATAATTAAAAAAAATAATAAAACTACTCATTAGACATTAGGTTATAAAAAAGAAAGAAAAGAACTGAAATTTGAAGATGCAGACACAGAGGTAAAAATTTCAGTTATAACT